TCAGCAGGTATGATTCGGTCTGCTGACGGCCATAACCATTTGACAATTTCACCCTGTTCTTCGGCTCTACTTGAACCGTTGTCCAATTTTGTTTCGACCTTCTATGGCCCCTCTATTCTATGTAAGTTGACAGTGACCTTGAGGCTTTGACCAAAACCTTCAGAAACTTGATCAGCTATTATTTCATTGTTATGTTCTTGCAATTGGCAGCTTTTTCGTTATCTGTTTTAAACTTTTCCCAACGGTACAATCCAACATAGGAGTTCAAGTTACAGATTTCTGCCGGGTTGGCAGCTTTCCTTTCGCTCTTTTTTGAGTCACATGGGTGCCGTTCAGGAATCCGTCTTGTCTCCATGTTGTCTTATTATTTTATAATATCAGCCCAGTTCTTCTACATACATTACCCTTAGACAGTATCACTCACCAACTTTTGAATTACAGTGTTTCACTGAAGACGTGCTGCTGTTAGGATGGGGCGTTGAAGGTCTCGTCCACTGCCCCGGTGCCTTCTCGGATTGTTAACTGGGTCGTTGATCCTTAAGTGATGATTCGACCCGTGTCCTTCATTGATCGTCGGCACTGTCAGCAATTTAACGTAGAAACAGCGGCCTTTTATAGGCAGCTTTGCGCCATTTTACATATTCCACCTTGGAAGGAGCTATGATGCAATATTGCTAATTGCTGACACCTGCTATGTATTGCTCCATGACTAACTGAAACATCGCTAATTTTCCTTCCGTGCAGCAGAACTGGTAATTAAAAGTATCTCTTCCAATGTTATTTTGATGTAGGAAAACACGAATTGCTGAAAACAATCCGTCTTGCTCTTTACCTTCTGATTAACTGCAAAACCTACTTTGTTATTAATCTGAATTGTTTGTCTCAAGCGGCTGTAGTTATCTGCTTTTTCAGTGGTTTGTTTTTCTAGTCCTTGTCAAACTAAAGTCCGTTCTTCATCCAGTTGGTTTTCCTCCTTAAATTAGGAGCCTAATTTCATATCATTTTTGAAATACTCGGATCAGCCGTAATTCCTAACTGCGTTTCAAATTGCTTGGCTAGCGACTTTTCTCGCTACTTTCACCAATGCTGCATCGCTCTGATGATTAGCCTGTTAACGATTCTGACTTTCTTTCTTTGTTCTTAATCATAAAGGGCAAAATAAACAAATAAATCCGTTTTCACAAAAATTTTTTTCTTTAATTTTTTTTTTCAATTAATGTAAACTTTAAAAGAATTTGTTTCAAACTTGTTTCTTTGTGAAAACTGTTGTTTATTTTTAGTCAGTAAAAGTGATAAAGGAGCAAGTGGATAGTATTGCTGATGTGCGAATGTACACTCGACCAGGTCACTTTTTTTACGTTTGTGAAGGTTTTTGATGCTATAATTTTTGGCATTTTTAATTGAAAATGCTTGTTAGTTTGAATTTTGCTTTATCAAAAATCATTGCAGAGCAGCTAAAAATGCGTTCAGTAGCGTACACTACGAGCGTCGATCGTACCATCGAAGCTAATCCGTAAGTTTTCCATGCTTTTACTTCCATTTGTGCGTAATTACTTTTATTAGCTGCTACTTCATTGTTGCGCTGTTGGGCACCTTGATTGAGCAGAAGAAGTGGTGGAAGTTAGAAAGTTAGGGAAAAAAAATATGAAAAGCGTGTTTTTGTGTTTTCTAAAAAAAAATCTTATATATATATAGTGCATAAGCATTGCTGCTGGCTACTTCACATGTATTAGTTTCGAAAATCTGTCTCATTTCTTTTTTTTTCGGCAGTGTTCTAATTACCACCGTGATATAACGGGCTTGAAATAGTGATTGATCGGCTCTGTGATTTATTTTGATTTGTTGGTAATTTTTAAATGTAATGTTTTCTCGGAATTTTTAATAGAATTTTTTAAGGGATGCAACAGGTGTTGAGCTTCACAAAGAATCAAAATGGTATGCGAGCTGGAAAAGTTTTTCGGAGAACAATGCTTACTATAATAGTAAGGTTTTTAACTTCCTTTTCATATTTTGTTCTTTAAATGAACTTGAAATAGTACGGCTTTCTCAATAAATATGTATTGGTATGTACTGTTTCAGTTGTTTTGGTTATGTTTCATTTTGCTCTTGGTGCAAATTACAACTTCTCCATGCTTCTTAATTTTGGTCCTCTCTCATTCACAAAATTTCTTATTTCTTTACAACTCCGAGTTTCCTTCTACTTCCTTAACATTACTTGGATACTATTCATCCGCTCATTTTTATGCGTTTTGTGCTATGTGACAATTGTACAAAACGCATATGTGTGTGTGTGTGTGTGTGTGTGTGTGTGTGTGTGTGTGTGTGTGTGTGTGTGCCCAATGCATCTTGTCCGCAACTTTCACCTCGGAAGATGAAATTTTAAGGGAATGCCTTACCTATATGTAACCCCGCAAATTTAATTTCAGCCTTCCTCTGCTCGCGACTACCACGTATTATCTCGTGAAAGCTTTGACGGACAAAGTTATTATCTCGAGAACTATGAAAGATTGGAAGCTAAAATTTTATTTTCCTTCTGTATCCATCATTCTCTTCACTTGACTATCCTAGCTATTCTTGGCATACACTACTCGAATCATATCACTTTACACCACATCTAAATCGCTGAACTTTTGTGATATAAGCTGTCTGCCCCTGACCGTGCATTGTTGCTTGGCTCGTTTGGTTACCGCTAGCTTTTTTTTCTGAGCGCGTGTGTTGCTCCATTCCTAAGGGATTCAGTGAAACTGTGTGAGAGTAAAATCTCCTTAGGAAAGAAGATCTGAATTACATCATGTTTGTGATGCTACTTTTATATTAGCGTAAATTGTACAGCTAATCTATCACCAGATGTCTGTGCATGCTAGCAGTTTTCTTTTTTTTCAGAAATTCTGGACTGGAAAATGCGTTTGGATGAAAGTGATAATTTGGCTGCGAGAATAGCACGCGGTGTCACTGACAAAGTTTCCTCACTGCTGGGTTTGTTCTTTGAAAGTCGTTGTCAAA